TGAACGCCATCAGCAACTGGCAGGTCTTCTTCCCCATCCACTTCCAGGAGTACAACCCCGCCGTCCTGTATCGTGACCAACAACCCTCTGCCCCCTCATCTTCCTTCGCCTCAGAGTCGATGCGTGACGGCCACTTCGACCGACACGTCTTCGACGAGGCCTGCTTTTATAACGCGGACTACATGACCGCACGGACCAAGATGGCGGCAGACATCCTAGACAACGAGGAGCTACTGGAAAGCATGGACGTGTACGACATATTTGTCCGCTACTCTGGCCTACATGTGTTCAGAGCCGTAGAGCCAGCGTTGATTCAGAAATACATACGGCGAACATGCAACCCACGCTTTAGCGAGGACATCTACCACCGCTGCGTACTCAGCAACATGGAGGGTCTGGGTTCACGCTCACATTTAGCCATGGCTCTGTTTGAACAGGAACAGGCCAACAGTACCTAAAGGCCACGGCAGTTCCAAAGATCTTTTGTAAAACCGTACAAACGCTGGCTGGACTGAAGTAACTCACACATACATAATGTGAATCGTCATTGATACACTGCAGTTCTCACAGCTTGGTGCCCAAACCTGACCTTAATAAATGTGGTTTGTGCCATCAGGAAGTACATCTGGTGGTAGAAATGTGCCAAAGCACATACAGATTATCTGCTGTGACAATACCTGAATCGTGGAGTTGATGCTCTACCCTGTCTGACACTTGGCAGAAGGACCCGAGGATGTAATAAAAGCAGGAAAACTTTATAGAATGAAACCTTTAACAGATCCAGCGTTCGCACATGCATGGTCTCGGAGTTGTCGGTGATAATCTCTGCTCACTCTGGACCGTTGACTTCTGACACCTGAGCCGTGAAGGTTTCTCTCTCAGTCAGACTTCTGATCCTACTGCTGACTTCTTCTCTCAGGAGCCGAGGAACAATATTTACACTACAGTGAACACATGATGATGATGTAATGGAAAAATAAATGAACAAAAAAAAGATGTATTTGTTAATAATTAATTAAGAACAAAAACATGAGCCATAAAGTCTGATTTTTACTCAGTCACTGAAAAACCACAGAAATAATGTTGCTTAACACTTGATGTTGATGCTGGGCACTTTTTTTTTTGCTCTTTTTCTTTTGAATTTGTTCATTTCTTATTAAAGAGCGACACTGCAGCTGCGTGTTCTTCAAATCGTGCTCGAAAAAGTGTTTACAAGTCGAGAAAAGATCACAAAGATGGAGGGAAGACTAAAGATGGATGATGTAACAGTTGGGGGGGGGTCACACAGCTTTACAGATGATAACAATATTTACCAAATGGAAAAGACAAGTTAATTAAAAAATTGTCACAGTGCTGTAGAAAATCAATACAGTATTTTGTGTATTGATATTTTCTTACAGCCACAATGACACTACACAACTGCTTTGAATGAGGGCTCATAAAAAAAAAGATTTGTCATGACCTCAAAGGTCAACTTCCTATAGTTGGTCGAGCCACGAGACCATACTGTCATACTGTAATCTTTTAGACGACTCATCAGTGCCAGTGCAGCCTCCTTCAGCAGTAACACTCAGGTCTAGAAGACGACGTGTGACGACACGTTCATATTCAGAACCATTAGGCCTCGATGACTCATGAGTTCCGTCCATTTTGTCATACCGTGCAACTCTACTGCAGTGAACACTTTGTTCCAGAGCCAGGAGCCCCACCCCATGCCTCGTCTTCTCACACACACCCTCGGTAATTTCCTTCTCCTGTCTGTACCTCCCCCCTGGTTCTCACTCCAGATGTGAGGGAGGGTCCAGTAGCTGAGACCGGGGCTTAAACTTCACACTGACAGAGTTGACTGGAGCTGAATGGCTCACTTCACACCACCTCTCTCCTCCTTGAGCGGCTCATTCTGAGGCTCCCTCCTCCTCCTCATCCCTCCCCACATCCACCCACCCACCACAGTCTCCATGTGGAGGGGTTGTCTGCTGGGGAGAATAAGGCAGCAGCAGCAGTGAAAGAGGTTCTTTCTGAGGCGTGAGCGTGGCTGCGGTCCGGGACTACGGCAGCGCCATAATTCACAGAGGGAGAGGCCTCCACCTGCCTCCCTGTGGTGGAGGAGGTGAACAATACAGGGTCTGTCTGTCACCACCAGGGAGTGTCAGCACTTTGTGAACACTGCTCCTTTTTTCAGAGGATGCAAAATTTGGGAAATTCAAAGAGACGTTCGAGGGGCCTGGTAGGGGCCGGGGGTGGGGAAGAACAAAACAGTACTTAAAAAAAAATAAATATATATATTACATTCAGGTACTCAGGTAGTATTTTAGCATGGTTTTGTATGGTAAAAATAGCATAAAAGCCAAAAAGGAAAACAATTCTCTGCCACGCTTGACATAATAGTAAAGGACATCCAGACCCTTTTTATAGGAGTCACTAATGTAATGTAAAAATACACAAAGATAGTTAGTCAGTTAGGACTAACTATTCCTAACTGACCAACTATTCCGGAGTCACGGATCCAATTTTGTCCCAGAAATGGCAACAAAAAGTCAACCAGTAACGACCAAAGCTAACATTAGGCCAAAGTTCAGTTCTAAAAATACTTAGATGTTGGAGTAAATAGAGGTAAAATTATGAACTGCTACCAGACAGTCGGCCATTATGAGGATGTGACGTAACTGAACGTCACCGATGTGTTAATGCGCTTCAGAATTGACATTCAGAATATTAGCGTTATCTTGTTTTTTAATTACTTTTTTTTAAAAAAAAGGAACACTACTGAAATACAGAACGAAAACGAATCTTTACTGGAATTGTTCACGAATAACTATTTGCCGGATACGTGCGTAATATTTCAAAACAGTACTTCCTCATTTACCCAACTGTCATGTAGCAGACGATTAAAATGTTTTGGGTCTATTGAAGTATATTTAAGGTGAAATCGTAGTTGTTGTTTTTTTCTCTATAAATTTTCTAAATAATAAATGAGCACAGAAAGCGCATGTAAAATTCCAACGTTCATAAATTATTACTTTATATGGCCACCAGATGTCGCTGTAGGTTGTCCCAAAAGATCAATCCTTTCGCTGAATCGATTGTTCCAGATGATTCCATCTCTTAAATGCTTCGTGCCAATATCAAATAGAGTAAAATTACATTTTAAATGCGTGGCCAAAAGAACCAAAACCTAAATATTAATAATGTATTTACGTGAGATAAATAATAGTTTGTGGGTATGTTTTAATTAAACAATAAAATGTTTTTACCTGTCAGGTTAGCTTCCAAGCCCAGTGTCTACACAAGGTCTCCGCTTCATTAGATACACCTGCTCAACTTCCGGTTGACGTCATTGTCTGATGAACCAGTCACAGTACAGCAGCTTGATTTCGCCAGCGTGTGGCAGGAAAGTTTACAGTTTAAATTCTGCTTCGTTATATGATTTACTGAACGAAAAGTTTAGGCGGGAGAACCACAAACTATAAAATAAACAATAAAGAAATAATAATAATAATAATAAAACAATCCTTAGACTTTGTGGCATTTACAAACTTTGGCAAGCGCTTCTTTATTTACATCCAGGCTGTCTCACAATGTCACAGCTTGTGTTTTCCCTTTTTTTTGTCTTGTCTTGTACAACGTCATCACTGATTACAAGTGTTTACAGATTATGTGTCATTTAAAATCCCCCTGTTGGTCACCCTCGGGTATGACAGTGTAAACGAAGAAGAAGAAGAAAAACAGCCGCTTCTCTTCACAGACACATGCAAGGAGTGAGACTGGACACGTGTCAACAAGAAGTGTGGAGCTGCAGCTCTGCGTCCTCTACAAGGGGGCGCTAGTGTTTCAATGTTTCAATGTGAAGAATGCCCGAGACTAAGATACTACCACTGACTACTGTTGTCCTCTAATGTGTGCAGGTATTAATATAACTTAGACCTAGTAACAAAAACACAGTCAAGAAAGAAACGGGGGGGAAAAAACCCATCACACCTACAGTTAGTTGCTGGTAGGGCACATAATTTTTGGCAAGAAAAAGTTCCCAGAAGGCATTTCTGCAGCCCACAGATAAATGCCCCTCACACGGGCTGCGGCGCCTCCTTGGTTTGATATATATATACAAAGACTGTCTCAGTAGATGTTCGCGGTCATGTTCATGTCCATGGAGCATGCATAGGTCTTCTTCATGAAGCTGGAGCGGAGGGAGTCCCAACATAAGGGTTACAGCACAGTGCAAAGGAACAGAGGGGACATGGTTCCAGCCTGAGGCCGACTGCTGTGTGTGTTCTCCTTCTCAGACATTACAACATATACAAACAAGTCCTGGTGGAGGTGGAGAAGCAGCTCTGACGCTGCAGACCACGTCACGTGATGCAGCCAGCGGGATCAGAGAGTGGCGGGGGTCTGCAGTCTCCCACGACAGACGGGACGAGGAGCTAAAATAAACCAGGCCCAGCCCAGAGTGGACACAGAGGGACACGCTAACACTGCTGCTCCAATCCCACCCTCACCCACCCTTTAACCCCTTCCCCAAACACACACTCACAACACTGTATGCTGTACAGTTGGGAGAAAAAAAAAACATATTTACATTCACATCTAAAAAATCAAACAAACAACGAAAAAAAATTTAGAAATGGACAAAGCTTTCCAAACCGTTGGGCCACACGATCATTGGGTCTTAGTTTTAAAACCACCATTAAAAAAATAAATTAATGAAAAAGTTCAACATTTGGAAGTAAATTCTATTTCACTCTTCTTTTTTTTTTTCTGACTCAGTGCAACCAAATTTGAGTTTGTATGTTGGACCTGTGAAAGTGCAAATAGGACCAAAAGTTTCCGGATGTCGCCGGGCCTTAACAGGAAGTCCATATATGGAGATAAAACACAGAATTGTAACCAAATAAGAACCAAAATTATGTTTCTCTTTTTTTAATTCCTAGTCCATTTTTTAATCTTTTCAAAATTGGACACTTGGACAACTGACCCTACATGTAGTCTACAGATGTGGGCCACAACTATGACAAACCTGGGCCACTTCGGTCGGCCATCTCTGGTAAAGGTCAACTTTTTGGGAGAAAAAAATGGCTGAAAGCCCACTGTGTATGTTAGAGTTGATTTAAAAAACACGTAACAAGTAACTTCAGGTTTTTTTTGCCTGTAACAAAAGGCAAGTATTACCCTAACAGGGCACTTTTTAACTGCCACTTCCAGGGCAGTTACTGCAGGAAGGGTAGGTTCTGTTGTTAGCATCAGCGCTAACACCGCTGCCTGATGTCAATGGTTTTCTATTGGCAGAACAAGCTCTTGGCATAGGCCACATAGGTGGTTGCTTTAGTGCCATCTGTTGGAAAGGGCGAGGATATACTCTAACTCCTCAGAATATACAATTACAATACCGTTCCAAAGGGGGCGCCCAGGGCCAATCAGCGACACAGATATTTAATTAAAGAGGGAACTTTTTCTGGTCACCGGTTAACTTGTAACTTTTTTTAAAAATCAGTTTGTCTTTTTTTTTTGTCCATTTCCGTCTCAAGGCTCATGTTCTGGACTTGTCCTTGTAGTAACCTTTGGTAAATCCTTCAGTACGTCAACAGCTAAACTGAAACTATGACACGAGGAAGAGGCAGTGAACGTGTCGACAAATCCTAGGACTAAAGAAACAGAAAGACTATAAGTTAATGATCAGTTCTTGTTCCTTCCTTCCTTCGTGGAACCTTCTACAGACACAGGCCGGTGTCTGAGAACGTGGTAATACTAACATGTAACTAATACTGCTGCAGCACAGACACACAAACACACTGGTGGACGTGACACTGATCTAAGAACGGATGAAACCTCTCACTGGTCAGGGTGGGTCACAGCATCGACCACATGTGTCCACGCTGTGACCTGTGACCTGTGACGTTGCTGGTGAAAAGTCAGTGTTTCCAGAACACTCTTCTAATCAGGAAAAAAATAAAAACCTCCACAGTCACAGACTTTTGACTCAAACTTCGTCTGGAAAATAATCACGAAGATGAAGACGGCGAGTGTGGACGCCGCTGCCGAGTCGAGCGGAGGGTTTGTCTCGACTTATTTACAGAGAGCGGCAAGAGAGAGAGAGAGCGAGCGATGACGAGGCGTTTGATTATCAGGCAGTGAATCTGAGGATGTTTTTTTTCGACCGACAGGATTCTCCGTCTGTCGCAGCAGCATGGCTGAACGTTTCCTCCTCGTTCTTCTATAACAGTAGTTATACCTCAAACTGTTGGTTTTTTTTTTTTCAAAAGTGACGACCACACATACATCCTTACACACGCACACACACACAGATCAAAAACACACGGCGTCTGCAGTCAGAGGCAGAGGCTCAGTCTAGGTGTTGCGGACGGCTAAGGCCTGTTCCAGCTCCTGTCTCCTCTGCTGGATCTGGAGGAAGGAACGACAGGACAGAAGTGACGTGGATGTTTCTGCAGACTGAGGTGGAACCTCGTGTTCCTGAAGCTCTGGTTCCTTACCTTGCAGTAGAAGTAGCGGCTGACGGCTTCCTGGGACCAGGGCTCGTGGTAAAACGCCGCCCGGCGCTCCTCCTCAGGGTTCCCCACCACGTCTGTCATCAGCTGCAGGAAGAGGAACACAGGAAAAGGTTGGGATTCACTCCTTCAAAATAAAACCAAAATCAGTAGTTTGGATATTCTGTTGATTGGCTCAGGACTTTTAATTTTCAAATTTACTACAATTTGGACCACAAAGGTGTTGATCCTTTGGCCACTAGGGGCCGCCCCAGATCAGAGCAAAGGGAAAACAAATGAGCGTCAAACCTTCAAGTCTCTGCTCTGGGATTTGAGCCAGTCCTGGATGTAGCCCTTGGGGTCCCTGGAGAAGCTGAGCATGAAGTCCCTCTGGATCTTCAGCTGGTTGATGGACTCAATGGTCTCGTGGATCTGGAGGAGGAGCAGAGACAGCGGTGAAGATCAGGGCGGGGTACAGACCCAGACATGTTTGATCAGAGAAGGTGTGGTTCCCCCTTGGACCGACCTTGTTGTCCAATGAGGCGATTTCTTGCTGGTTGGCAGTGGAGAGGAGGAAGCTGCTCATCTGGCTCTTCAGTGGATCTTCAACCTCCACATCGATGTCGTAGCAGGCCGTTTTCTTCTGGTCGTTGGGGTCAACGCTGATGGAGAGCAGGGAGGGGAAAAAAAAGGTGGAATGAATGGGAATTAAACCGACAAACTGCAGAAGTTTAAAACATTGTCCATAAACATCTAAGAATCCAACATGTACCTGATAACATGGTTGATGACGATGGGGTCGGGGGGCAGGAGGAGGTTGGTGAGACGCTGAGGGATCTCAGAGAACTTCAGGCGAGGACAATCAAAGATCTGAGCAGGAGAAAAGACAAAAACTTCAGTAAATCATTACTGTTAGGTTAAACACAGAGTCAGGCCAAATAACACCAAATATATCCCGTTAATAGTGTCTAATAATAAACATAAATATTACAGCAAAGTGAACAGAAAATACTCGCAAATGTACAATACACCTTTACCGCCACAAGGGGGAGCCTACGTCTTACAAGCCATTCGGAGATTTTGTGATTTATATTATAGACTTTTAATTTAAAATGTGAAACAAAAATACAAAATCCCACATTATTATTAATAAGAAATATTATGTCATTTGTTTAATTTTAATTTGTTTATTTATGTTATAGTATTTGTAAATAATGTAAAGGATGATTTTATGTTTTTATTTATTTAAATGTGTTCATTTTTTTTGCATTTTTTTGAGTCCAGTACCTGTTGGAAGTACTTGTCACAGTTGATGTACTCCTTGTCGTGGGAGTCCTGCAGCTTGTTGGTCTTCACGTACTGCCACAGGGCCTGGATGATGCAGGAGCGGGTCTGGGTGTGAATCCCCAGCAGACGGGCCAGACGTGGGTCCAGTTTGAACTGCGGAGGCTGCAAACACACACATACACACACATCACTTTAAACAATGCAACGTCACATCAGCTCAAATCAAAAATCTTGAACTGTCCCTTTAAAACCCCTGCATGTTTGTTTTAATGTGATGTTAAACCTACAGTTTGTTACTAACCCAAATTTTGGACAAAAGAGTTTTTATCCTCACAATGTTTTGACCGCTGTGGCTCTTTGTCGCCCTCACCTGGTAGTCCAGCATCAGCAGCAGAGTGCAGCGAACGCTCACATCTCCCGGCCTTTTCACTTGGAAGCCGTCGGTCTCCTGTGTGGTCGGTGTGCGGTGCCACTGAAAAACACAAAACAACCATTTAAACTCATGTAGGAACTTGAATTTTAGATGGTTTTAAAAACCGACAACTGGTTGACGCTCCCTAACCCTGACACTACAGTTGAACTAAAACCATCATTTTTAGGTCGTGGGAAAACGGGAGCTGCTGTTAAACTGCTGCTCTGTTTGAAATGTTCGTCTCACTCAGAACATTCTGAACAAAGAGTTTGAAACACCAAAGTCATAAAATAACACCCACCTAATTCACCACTAGAGGCAGCAGTGGGTCAGTATCTTCAGCGTAACATTGTGTCAAAGAGCATCATTAACTTTAATTAAAACTTTTATTTAGATTGAGCTAAGTAGTCTTTAAATATCATAAAATCATTTTTAATTAAGAAAAGAAAATCTGATTTCAGTTGGAAATTAAACAGACTTTTTCATCACATGAATTTTAACAGTTAGAATAAAAACATATTTTTCTTATTTGATAAACAAATGGTTCAAAGTCTCCAAATAAAAAAAATATGATGTTTTTAAAAGATTATTTCTACTCTTCTTCATTTTTAGTCTTATGGCTTGTGTGGAATCTTTTAGAATTTTTATTCTAACAAAAAACAAAAAACAAAACAAAACAAAAGAAAAGAAAACACAAAAATTCCTTGTGTTCATTATCAAACAATTCTCACAGACTGAAACCCTTTGTCATTGGACGACAGAGGTGAAAAAAGGTGTTTGTGCAGAAACATGTTTCGTAACAGAATGTGCTAAGAAATGAGTCTGTGTGTGTGTGTGTGTTTGCAGTGAAACGACTCCAAAAGCAGAGCCGTAGAATCAGCAAAAATAAAATTAAAATTAACTCATTAAAATGCACCATTCTCAGGCTGCAGCTCAACATCTGTGGCTTCAGCGCCGCCACCGAGCACAGAGCGGAAACCAAGACTGCGAAAGGTCAGGCGTGTGGCCGTGCACCTGGACGAGGTCAGACGGGTCGGGATCACAGAATCAGCAGACTTTAAATAACGCCCAGAGGTCTTAAAAAAACCCACTGTGATGGCTGCAGTACCGGCTGCAACCACTAGCCTTATTTGGCTCTACAGCTCCTGTTTCACTTCATCTTCTTCAGCTGACTCAGACCAGGCACTGACTGAACCTCAGGCGGCGTAAATAAGCGTAAAAAAAACGTTTTATGATTAAAAAAAGAAAAAATGAATTCAAAGCCGAGCACCAAGAGCCTCAGTTGAATCTGCTCTTAAAGAGAAGGAAAACCTTGAGATGTCATAATTTTCCCTTCTCAAACTACGAGTGGGTTGTCTCTCTTTTTTTATTTTTTTATTTCTTCTTTTTTTCTCTACGTCAATGCGTTCATGAAGACACAGAGTCAAGGGCGGCGCGTGGTTGTTTTATAATCAGGAAATGCTTGTTTCTACGGCTCCTCACATCTGCATGGAAAAAAAAAAACAACCTTGCAAAGCTGAAGAAAAAAAAAACCCAACTCATTGCTGAAGCACAAAACTCAATTAATTCAGAGGTCGGTTCACTCGCTTTATTTTACCACCATTATAAAAGGCACAATAAAAAGGACAGGGTGTTAAATCTGACAAGGGTTCTGTGGAAGGTTCTCCTCGGCCGTACGAACACCTCCTCACCGAAAACTCTTCACCACTAATGGACGAGTTCTCAGATGAAGTCACCGACCCCCCCCACCCCCCCGGTGGCCAACAGGCAACTCAGACCTGGACGGAGTCCAGAAAAAAAAACGCAGCATGGCAACAACTACAGCCTGGTTATTTACGACGGCGCGGTGGCTTAACGCAGTGGAGCTGACGAAGGGCAGATTTATTTGTTTTGCACCCGAGTGTTTTATTTTTATTTCTTTCTTTGAAAGAACAGCTCCACGACAGGAAACGGTTCCACAACAGTACCGGGAATTTTGCGCCTCAGGAACCAGCTGAAATACCAGGCCTGTGTTTTATTTAGTTTTTTTTACAGCTATTGTTCAGTTCAAAGTTTTATCCCGTTTAATCGCAGTGTAGCTGTGGATGTATCGCAATCACCGTATTTTCCGACAAAGGTCACACCGGTGCCCTCAAGCGGTTGTCAATACGAAAATAACATTGTACATTTTCACTGGTACAGGAGTAGCAGACACTGGAACACAAGCCTAGAGTGCACTCTAGTGGCCATCAAGGTGAAAATAACAAACATGTTAAATTATATATTTTTATTATATAAGTCTCACCTGAGTATAAGTCGCAAACCCAGACAAAGGATGAAAAAATGTGCTACTTACTTATTACGGAAAATACAGTATGTAAACCCAGACAAAGGATGAAAAAAAGTGCTACTTACTTATTACGGAAAATACGGTAATCTCAATTAATATTGAGAATTTCGGATTCGTTTCCAATTGCGATTTTTTTGTACATTGTAAACTCACCTCCACCAGGTGGTTGTCAGGACCGTACAGGTCTTTGTCCAACTCGATGACCAGGCTTTTGAAAAAGGACGAGAACTTCTTCTTCTGCTTCCCTGGCTGCACAACAAACACACAAACAAACAAACAGATAACAGGTCAGTCAGTGATCACTCACCTGGACACCCTACAGCAGAGGTCACAACCTCTGGGTCGCTGACCGTAACTGGGACATGGGTCATTCTGAACCAGGTCCAAAATTTAAATTTTTTTTTTTGGAAGTTTGACTTTATCTGTTGTTTATAAAATTAAATATGAGATATAGTAGTAGTAGTAGTAGTACAGTGTGTACTGTGTACTGTGTAGTGTACATTTCCTCTGGCCGACATTCAGAGAAAAAAAAAAAACTCACAGGAGGCTGCGAGGGAGAAGAGCCTAAAGTGAGAAACAGTTTTTTTTTTTCTCTTCTTCTTCTTCTCAGGGTCCACTTCCTCCGAGGTCGACCAGAAATATTTGTGGTTTGTGAAACTTAAATGTCTCCAACCGCTCTAAAAATGACGTCCTTGGCCATGAAACAGCTGAGAACATCACGGCTTTTTGAAGAACTCCTTCCCAGACAAATAAAAAAAAAACAAATAAATATCATTCTTTGGTGTTTTTTTTTTCTCTCCTAATGCTACATTTTCTTCAGCGTTAAACAGATAAAAACATTCATCTGCGGGTGGGGGGGTCAGAAGGGATTCACCCACAGGGGGCGTCGTCAGGCTGAGCCTGCTCTGAGATCAGATCTCAGTGAGTGAGAAGACGACACAGTGTAACGGGACTCACATCATCCAGCAGCTTCCCCTCCACTCTCAACTCCCAGGATGCAATGCTGCCGTCGGAGTCGTCGGCGTCGGGTCGGGCAGGGTTGAAGGTGTTGGAAATGTAGAGCCTCAGTTTACGCTTTTGCTGCTGACACGAACGGCGTAGACAAATATCCACCATTAAAAGTCACAGTTCACAAATACAAATCTATTAATTATAAAAATAACAATGATGTTGATTTAAACATTATTATTATTTAATTTGTATTATTGTTACTATGACATATTTTTATATGAATAAAATAATAATAAAATAATAACTACTCCTATCACTATACAATATTGCATATATATTTATATATATATTTTATATAAAAATTAAATAGTTTTTTTAAGTTTATTTTAAATTAAATTGTAGGATTGTTATTATTTTATTTTTTATTTAAACTATTTAATACATTTTTTTGGTTTCTAATCTCAGAAAAAAATCAAATTTTAAATATATAAAATATTTTATTTTATACTAATCTGACTTTTTCAAGCATTATCAGTAATTGTTTTATTTTCTGCATTTTTCAAATCAAGATTAGTCGTCAGATTTTAAACTCTTTAAATCTGTGACCAGGTTCTTGGACCTTGGCTTCTTTGAACCAGTCAACGAGTTAAAAACCTAAACATTTTAAACTAATTCTCCAGATTAAAGGAGCCACTGATCTTCATAAATAATCAGTGAAAATGAGTTCAACCAGGACAGGCTCAGACCAGCAGTGACTCCTCACCTTCATCGGTCTCTTTAGCGCCTCCTGTATGTCCACGCGTTTGCGCATGATGGTCTGGTCCAGCTTGCGCTCGAAGGCCAGCAGGTCCATGTAGGCCTGGGACTCTGGGACCAGCTCACGGATCTGCTTAAAGAAAAGAAGGGACAAAAACACAACATTAAAATCTCAGCACCGGCCTGAAGGACAGGGGGCGCTGTGGGAGGAAACACGCGGTAGGAATGTCCGATACTAACCTCTTGCCAATATCCGATATGTCGGTATTGTCCTAACATTTAATTTCCAATTTCGATATCAACCGATAACGATATTGTCGGGCAGTGGTGGCCTGGTGGTTAAGGAAGGTAAGTGCAGCCTGCTCACTAAGGTGATTGGTTAAAAGCAGGAGAACACTGTGAGTGCAGTGGTGACAATAATTAATTTTCACTTTCATATACGCCACCATCTGGTGAAAACCAGGCATTGCATTATCATAGGGAAAAGCATATATCGATTCTTACAGAAATTACGTAATTACGCTAATATCGATTGGTCGATATCATTATCACTGCATCATCATATCATTATCGAGGACTCGTTTTAGGGACGACATAAAACAGGTTTATTATTACATTATCTTTTGCAGTTGTAATGTTGATGTTAGAGGCAACGAACAGGAAATACATGATGTTAATATGAAGAGGACACAACACAAAAATCAGCATCTGTGTGTGTGTGTGTGTGTGTGTGTGTGTGCAGTCAACCAGCCAGGACCTCATATATTACCATCCCCATGAAAGTCCTCAGAGCTTCAACACACACACACACACACACTCTCTGCTCCCACTCCTCCCTTCTTCTTCTGTCCTCTTTCATCTTTCCTTCTCCCTTTCATTCCTCCTCTTTCTGAATGTAAACCGGGGCTGAGGAGTCGGGCAGACAGAGGGGGGAGGGAGGGGAGGAGGTGAGGCGGAGGAGAGTGGCAGACATTCCCGATCCCTGACTCATTATTGTGGAGCAGCGCTCCTGCCATGCCGACTGTTATCGTCCTGTCTGCTAGGGGGTATAAACAGTGGGACCAGACCCTGGTCCAGACCTGGTCCAGACGCTGGGAGTCCAGAGTCCAGAGTCCAGACCTCCACGGTCACACTCACCTGTGGAACAAACCCCCCCCCCCCCCGTTCTGATCTACGCCTGCTGTTCCTCTCAGACAGTTCCAATTTAAATCCATAAAACAAAACAAAAAAATCCAAAAAACATCTCAACCCCCCGTCCTCCCTACAGTTACATTCAGAAATCACACACAATCAACTGGCCCCCTTTAGCGACTGACTTCAAAAAAAAATTTTAAAAAATCCCAGGATTCATCGGTTCTGTACACTAATGATGCCAACATGCACACACACACACGCGGAAAAGCAGAGAGAATCACAGAAGCAAAGGTAAAAATATGCAGCCTCACCCTTTGCGGGAGAATCTTGTCTGCCATTTTCCTTCTCTTAGCACTGGAGAGAGTGAGAGAAAGACAGAGAGAAAGAGGGGAAAAAAGAGAGCATGTTACTATGGTGACTGACAGCGTAGCACCCGGGCCATCTGCTGAAATGCTGGGCCACATCCAGCACCTCAGAGTCCCAGCTGTGTGTGTGTATGGTGTGTGTGTGTGTGTGTGTGTGTGTGTTCTCAGAAAGGCAGTCGTCCACCTGCAGAGTCAGAGTCTTTAGGAGCCAAAAAAGTGTCACACATTTATTCTCTGCACACACACACACACGCAGGAGTTTGTTAAGTGTGTTAAGGACATTTTACGGTATAAATTTGTCGACCTTTTAGTCTTAAACAGAAAATCGAGTGTGTGTGTGTGTGTGTCGTGTGTGTGTGTATTTTCATTCATGAATCTCAGGCAGTTTTCTTCATACTCACCATAGAGAACTGGAGTGTGACGACAGTGTGTGTCCACTGGGCGGACATTTATATTCACACAAATAAATAAATAGTTTTTTAATTTTTTTTTTGTTAAATTGAAATCAATTGAAATATATGAAAGGGTTCACAAAATATTTATGATTTTTTTAAATCAAGATCAAGGTAAAAATATATAATTTTTAAAATTATTATCATCATTATTGTTGTTATTATTAGTAAATATTAAATGCCCAAATGTTTATTTTATTGTTCTGGTTTTTATTACTTCACTTATTAATAATATTAAGATTTTGAAAACTAGGTTTGATTTTGAAACGTTTTTTTATTTATTTAAATACTTAGAAAATAAATAGTTTTCAAGATTTTCAAGAACATTTCTGCAGTAACTTTGTCGGAATATTTTCAACAAGAACAAGGAAAAGCCTCCAAAATCTAATTGGGGTTCATTTTCAACAAGAACAAGGAAAAGCCTCTAAAATCTAAATGAGGAATTCACTGAGAGCTCTGTGTTAAATCAGTGAATGGATTTCAAACCAACAACCTCCTCGTGTTTCTACAAATCCACGTTAAAACCTGGAAATAAATCGCCATGATTTGATTTTTGTTTCCAAACTGCGGTCAACTGTATGTTGTCTTTTCATCATACAGCGCTGCGACACCGTATGCAGTTAAACTAGCATGCCAAATACTGAGGCGGGCCCCCTAGTGGAGAGCAGTGCAAACTGAAACACAAACCTACATCACAGCAGTCCAGTTAATTCGACAGGGGGGTCAATATATCTCTCTCATCTACTTCTTTTTGTTATTATCATCCAGCTACTTCAAAACGGGGGGTGAGGGGGAAGGATTTCCCATCATGCCATGCTCCAAAGTCCAAAGCATGCAGCATCATCTAGTTCAACTCATTCAGGGGAGAAGTGAGCGCAGGGAGACAGGGCTACAAAAGTCCAGAGTCAGAGGTAAGAAAAGGGACATGCAGCAGAGTAAACTCCTACTTTGATCCGAGCGTGGGATCTGATTGGGGCTCTCTCATGTCCATCTGCCTCGTCGACATCTCATTGGCTCCCGGGAATCCGACTGGCTTCCTAAGAATCGGTGAGGATTTGAAGGTGGTCCGATTAGCGTTTGTGAGGAGACACACACTCAGAGAGAAGAGGAGAGACACCTGGTGGCGCTGACTCCCCGTGTGTGTGCGCGTGTGTGTGTGAGAGAGACTCGAGGGTTTATTAGAGAGGACGGGTGTGGGACTACACACACACAGAGACACACACAGACACACACAGACAGAGACCAGACCCAGGGAGTCGTCCTGCTCCTCACAGACTCACTCCCTCCACAAAGATGCAGAGTAACCGTAGAAAGACCAGCTTCACACACACACACACACACACTGAGAATGGACACACAGCAGACTGGGGGGTCGGGGGGGGAGGGGGTAAACAAACATGGTGCCACAGTTTGGTTCAGCTCTTAATTAAAAATACTTGTTTTTCTTTGAAGAACCAAAGAAAACAAACACACGACTCCAAATATTTGAGTTTCCCTCCGTTTCTGTTTTTCCAAGACCAAGAACTTCTGCTCTAGACTGAGGTCTCCCACACGAAACAGTACCAGGAACTGTTACCATGTGACAGTGGAACTCTGACTCACAGCTCAGAGAACGATAACTCCTTTTTCCAACCCTCTAATTTTATGAACTTCATGGACGGTTAACGTTAGGAGAAGACGGAGAACTGGAGTGAAACCATCAGTGTTTCTGATGACGTTCCTGATTGGTCAGGAAATGATCAACTCTACTCCACGGAATATTTCTGACCAATCACTTGATGATAAATGAGGAGATCATCTAGAAGAATGAAGAAATGGTTATTAAATATAAATATGCTGATAAATGAAGACTGTTGAAGTTAGTTAGTTGAAGTAAAAATCTTTTCCTTCATTTTTTCCATTTCATTTTCACCAAATATAACTTTAACTAAATCTTATTCATCAGAAACTTTCTTTCTGCTCAGACTTGACCTGACTTTTTCAAAAGTTCTCATTGGTCAAAAGGTGAGGGATTTGTTTAATAAAAGAAAAGGTTTGAGGTTTGGTTTCAAGGACTAACAGAGGACTGGACAAAAAAAAAAAAAAAAGAAGCTGTAAAGTACTGAGTCTTTGTAGTAGTTTAGTACAGTCTAAAGAGTCTTTGAAAAGAACCAATAGAAAGTACCGGTGCCCCCCCCAACCTAAAATGTGTGAGGCGATGGACGAATCTTTGTGTCTTCACTTCACTCAGCTCGAATAAAACAGTTAGTTAAAATAAATCTCCTCTACTGTCCCTGCCACGGAACCAGGAGCTAATCGCTCCAGCTGTCGTTTTCGACAAAGTTTTTATCAAATTCTGTTGAACTAAAGCGCTGATTTTATCAATTCTATACGTCTTCTGTTGTTGTTTTATTTTTTATTCACCGCGGCAAACATTTTACAACAGGAATCTTGACTTAATGAGATGTAAAAGTCACAAACAAGCAGAGCTAGGGTTAGCTTAGCTTCTCTACATGCTAACTAATGTTAGCTACGGTTTTGCTATTTTAGTAAATACTGTATTTCAAAGTTCTTTCCCATGGAATATACTAGAACTTTTTTGTATGCGGCGCAGTACTTACCCTAAAGAAGCTGGTCCACATCAGTACCAGCTAACACACACAGTCACTGGTATTAATTATTAAAAACATAACGATCTGCTGTAGTACCTCTGCAGACCTCCTATAGGTGGCGTCCCCTCCAATTAAAAACCTGTGTTGTCATTTAAATTCACATGGACTGAACTTTTAAACCTGTACTTTTTTCTGTCCTTTTTGTTTATTTATTTTTATTTTTTAATGATGTCATGTTTATGAAGAATTAGCATTAGCACTCTGCGGCTAACACTCTGCAGCAGCATATACATGTCTATTTATTAATGCGGCAGGCTGTGAGTAATCAATATTTTTTTGTATCTGCTGTAGTTGTGGGCAGCACGATTCCGTCCATTAATAGAATATTAGCACTATTTGTAGGACGCGGGGCAGAGTATTTATACCCAGAATGAAACCAAAAAGAAACCGACGGCTATTTTTAGCCTCAGCTTTGCAGAGGACGGTGTTTGTTTTAATGCTGCAGAGCGAGCGTAGCGGAGGACCAGAAGGTCTCAATGACAGGGCCTACACACACACACTCACACACACACTCAGGTGTTAGTCTGTGATGCTGGAGTCTCAGCTTTTTTTTTTTTTTTTAACTGGACGCTTACGAAGCAACAGCAAGAAGAAAGAAAGGACAGATACACCTGGACAGGTCACCCTGGACCATTGATCAGACTCTGGACTGCCTCTCTGGGGTGGGGGGGGTTAGATCTGCTCTGACGCAGAACCCCCCCACATCCCCCCACTCTCCTCGATCTGTTGGACAAGGCAGCCTAATTGTGTGTGGATCAATGTCGCTGCAGATGATGAGAGAGTGAAACAGAGAAAGACGGAGGTCCACAGAGTGTGCATATTGATCAGCAGAAAAATCGAGCCAGTCCTGTTGTGTCCAGGTCGTGGTAGAAAATTTTTAAAGATTAAAAAAAAAAAAAAAAATACAATTCTTGATTGTCCTTGAAAAATATGTTTCAAGGCCCGTATTGATCATTTCCTGTTTCTAAAACCTAATTAAATCATCCAATCAAATGCCTCCAAAAGTGCAGTCCACAACTGCTAACATTAATGCTTACACAAAAGCTGATGGGTCCGCCTAGAGGTACAAGGAGGAACAGCAGCGTTGTTTGTCTCAGTGACATTGTTTATTTATCTAACTGTGTGTAATTATTTATATGTTTAATTCTGCTTCAGTCCTGCTATTTTTACACGTGGTACTCGTTAAATTCTAATTACTATTATCCTAGTTAGCAGCTAGTTAGCTCTTAGCATGCTAAAAGGATTTCTGTTGGAGCCTAGCTGAGCATTTTTTAACCCAGTACAACGTGAACCATTCTAGTGATTTAATAAAAACCAAAGTCAGTTCTAGTTGGTTTCATTTTTATGTAAGTTCAATGTGATTTTTTTTTCAGGGCTAATATTTATGTATTAGTGGGGCAACATTTAGCTATAGCTAGTATTCGTTTTTTTGCTATTTTTTGCTAGCCGAGCCACCCTTTTTCTGAGCAAGCATTTCACAGTTTCCTGTTAAACTTGAGACATTAGACAATAACAAAAGATATATAAATATATTTGCCATGACTTCAGTTTTTCAGTGGTCACTCATGTAAAAAGTGTGTGGAAAAATAAAAATAAATTTAAAGAAAGTGAAATAAAAGCAGGAAATGGACACACACACACACACACACAGTCATGGTTTCGCTTCTCAGTAAGAACATTGAGACTGACTGAACGAGGAGAAAAAAAACTTCACTAAATCTGGAGAATGTTCTGTTTAGAAACAACGATGAGAGAAAACAGTGTAAGAAGACGGAGCTGCAGACGGTTTTGATTTGTTCTGCAGGTTTTTATCTCCAATTCAGGGGAAAACATCCAACAGCTGCTGCGTTGTTGTTCCCTCACAGACGAATTAAAAACAGAATCGACTTCTTTTATTCTCATGGTCTTTTTTTTTTTACCTTTAAAACCAATGACGGTCCCATTAGTGAGGCTGCAACCACCGACCTGATACAATCTTTTTTTCTTCTTCTTTTGTTTTTGACCTCAGTCAACATGGGCTTAATCACTTTAACGACCTGTGATCTATCACAGTGATTAATTAGAGCTGCTGTGATATATTAACTGTCCCCAGGCTTAAATATAATAATTATCATATAAATTATAACGAGCTGGGAATAAATATCCTGCTGTTTTAAGGCTTAAACGCTGGTGCATTCTAAATATAAAGCTGATAATTATATGATTGTGGTAAAAAAAAAAAAATCACTATAAGAGTGAAAGTCTGAGGTTATAGTTTTGTGTTTTGCTCAGTTCAAACATCGACAGCCCCCTGATGTCGTTGTGGTTTTTTGGGCCGTACTTTTACGTCCTACGTGGGATGCACACTCACTTTCTGGTCCGGTTCTGGACGGACTGCTGCTGCTGCTGCTGCTGCTGTTGCTGCTGCTGCTGCTGGACCTGCTGGGAGGGGGCAGGCCTCTTACGGCTGGGCTCCATCACCGGGGAGGGCAGGCCGGGCCGCACCGTCGGGCTGCCGCCGAACGGTGGGCCGGGGGGCCCCATGGGAGCTCCCTGATGGGGCATCCTCGCTCCGGACGGCATACCAGGACGCTGGGAGTTGGCAAGAAAAAGAAAACAAGGTCAGACGAGGGTCTTCAAGGTCCTTCAGGTCAAGGACCTCCAAAACTGATGAACATTCAACAGATTTTCAAATGTCAACAGAGTCATCTTTTAATTCCGATCAACCAAAAGTTTCACGACCTTCCTACAGTCTGTCCTCGGACCATTTTGATTTGTGGACCCCCCGTTGAACACCATTGACGTACAAAGGAAAATCATTCACAAGTTGCAGAAAAAAGTGCTTCTAAAAATACAACACTTTTATCAAACTGGTGGATTGAAAAGATCTAAGGAACATTCTTAGTCTCTTTTGACGAAAACAACAAGCGTCTACTCGGGAACATCGGTACCACAGGAGCCAGAACCAGGAACTAGGTGCTACCGGGACAAGGTCAATCCTGGGTCAGACCAAAAACCACTCAGACTGACATTCACACCTATGGTTCAACCAAGTACCAGGAAAAAAAGTCAAAAAAATTGGTTTCAGTGTCTGGTGTTTTTTTATAATAAACTGAGATATCTGAACAGAAATGATTTTCTCATATTCTTACGTGTCACATTTTCACTTTTCAACGCTTTCATCCAGACCCTGACTCTTTAACACCGGACCAGACCAGCACCAAGACTGGCCTTGTTCAAAGGCACACAGTGTTTTTTTTTCCAGATAATCTAAGAAGAACAAGAACTGAACCCAGAACAGCTGTGTTTTAGTCTCGCTTCTTCAGTTCTTTAAACAAAAATTTGGTTTAACGGCTACAGAAAAAAAAAATCACACGCAGAGGAACCTGTGAAACAATGCAAACAGTGTCAGAAGCCACAGTCCCACAGTCTGGTTCTGACGCCTGGGAACAACTGGGAGACCCTTCACCTGTGCCTGTCACTCCCATGGCAACAGCTGCCCCCCCCCCACCCCACTCCCCCTCTGTCTGAAACCCCAGGCTGGTGTTTATGTGATGGAGACTAAATCTTTACGCTAACTGCTGCAACCAACGAAAACATTCACCGTAAATATTATAATATATAAACGTTGTCAAACTGTCAAACAAACGAAAAATGTCAAACACTGCATTTGTTATTTCCACAAAGTACTGCTGTGTATATTAGTACTTGTTGGTAATATATTTTTTAAATTTAAAAGAAATTATTATCGTTGCCCCCAACACCACGTTTTTTAACGCAGCTGAAACGGGTTCAAAACAAACAAACAAAAAAAACATCTCAGAGGAGAGAATCAGTCGACACTGGGGGAGGGCCACGTTATCAGGCCCCCGCTTTGAAATGGTGAGCGCGCTCAGATCCTGCGATAAGGCGGCGGAGCAGACGTCGCTGTCACTCTAGAGTTGACTGGAAGGGCGGGGGGG